CAGTTTTCAATCTAATGCTTTCTATTCCATCCAATTTCTTCTACTTTTTGTGAACCTTGCTGCCATAGCCAAACACAGCAGGATCTAGGAAGGAGTTGATGTGTTGGTGCTTGGAGCTATGTGTGGTGGATGTACAAGCATATAGAACAAGCTTCATATCAATGTTATGTAAGTTTTTGGTTTTTGATCTAAGGCCTTCTATTCCATCCAAATTCTTTGGTTTTTGTGCCCCTAGAGCAAGTTTTTTATTTTGAAATCCAACAGGTTAATTTAAGTTCTAACTTTCTTCCTGGGTTTTAGGTTTTTTTTTTTTTTCTTATTCTTTTTCAATTATGGAACTCCAAGAATTGTTCAAGAATATAATGTGACAACTACTTGTAGAATTAGAAACTTGGGCAAATTGGTTAGAATCCAACATCAGTCCTCTATGTCCCCAACACACATCTGTGGTATGTTTCACTTGCTATTTTCTATTAAGAAACATCCCAAATCCCCAAATTATGAAGATGATGATATTATAGGGAGTTATCAAGCTGTTATAAACCCTTTTGATGAAGTAGAAGAAGTTAATCCTTTCTATGTTAATCCTTTATTCTTTTCAAATTTATATGATTTTGATTACTAATCAATGATTGTGAATTTGTAGAATCGTTCAGGGCTTTCACCTCTTCCTCCAGAACTAGTTGCTCTCAACTATAGTTGTGATGCAAATCATGATATCTCTCTTGCTATAGTTACTAGACCCAGTTTTAAGGTTAGTGTATTTATTTAATTCCATCTCTCTGCATGCCACTTCCTACTTGTTTTATGAAAGTAAGCAATGATTATGGTTTTCTAATTTACACTGTTCAAATTATCTTAGGAATTGAAAAGGGAAAGGAGCGACATTAGCCATGGCAGTTGAGCTTAACCAGCAACAGGAGGTATATTAGGGAGATTGCACTTGTGAAACATGCAGACTTTTACAAGTTTCACTCATCTGTTTCTTTTGGGATATACAACACAGGAAGTGAAGTAGGAAAGAAGAGGATTTAGCAAGAGGTAACTTGCAGTTTATGCTATAGTTTTTTGATTACTCATAATATCCACGTAGTGGCCTGTTTCTATTTCCTTTTATGGTCAATTAGCCTTTCATTCGTGCCATGACAATCTAGAACTTGCCTTGTGATTTTTTGTTCTGCAGATTGGCCACCATTTGCCCCAGTTGTTCATAATGATATTGCCAATGATATGCTCATTTATTGACAAAAGTTGATGTTTATTGCCCTTCCATCATTCTTAGGTATGTAAGCTTTTTGCATTTTTACTTTTCATTGTGGTTATTTTAGCCTTGCATTTTGTTAGATTATATTTATTGATTGAATTCATGCAATTGGATACATGATGTTATTTATAGTTATCGATCAATGCCTCTATTGATATATGTTATGATTGGTAAATGTATTTTTTTTCCTTCTGCAGGATTGGTTCTGTGCTTTTTCTAGAATGACATAACTGCTACTGCAGCATGCATCGAAGGGGAAAGATGGAAGCATCATACTGGGGAATTGGATCTCGTCTTCCCATCATGGTGACAATTCGCAACATCTTACAAGAACTAAAGATCAAACATTACTGTTTTGAACAAATACACAATTGTCAAAATATCAAAAACATGTTCATATCTGTTTATGCCTTATGGTGAACAAAAGGGAAAAACTCTTGAGAGGAAACAGAGATTTGACCCTAAAGATTTTGCTGATTGTGTTTTCACTGGTTCTTACTGGGATTACCTAATAGATGGAATGAGATTATGTATGCATATTTGTTGAGCAGTTGTAAAAATCTTTGTGATCTATCTAAACCTCCTTTTTGGATATCTGATGACACACTTTCTACCTATGTATTTTAGACTCTTTCTGAGCATTACTTTTCGTGTTTTCTTTAGGTCATTATCTTGCTTTTACAAAAGTCAAAAACTCAAAAAGTATAATTTATTATTTCAAATAAGTAGAGTAATAAAAATTAAAATTTTTTTCTCAGAATTATTGGGGGAAAGAATGTGATTATTATCATTATAAGAAGTGTTAAAGTTATTAATTTTTATTTTTTATAAATAGTGTTTAAAAATATTAATT